CAGTCAGGAAGTTCTTCCTCATGTTCAGATGGAATCTCCTTTCTTGTAGTTTGAAGCCATTGTTCCGTGTCCTAGTCTCCAAGGAAGCAGAAAACAAGCTTGCTCCCTCCTCCTCCCTGTGGCTTCCTCTCACATATTTATACATGGCTATCATATCTCCTCTCAGCCTTCTCTTCTTCAGGCTAAACATGCCCAGCTCCTTAAACCGCTCCTCATAGGGCTTGTTCTCCAGACCCTTGATCATTTTAGTCGCCCTCCTCTGGACACATTCCAGCTTGTCAATATCTCTCTTGAATTGTGGTGCCCAGAATTGGACACAATATTCCAGGTGTGGTCTAACCAGAGCAGAATAGAGCATGGGGAGCATGACTTCCCTAGATCTAGACACTAGGCTCCTCTTGATGCAGGCCAAAATCCCATTGGCTTTTTTTGCCGCCACATCACATTGTTGGCTCATGTTTAACTTCCTCCCCACGAGGACTCCAAGATCTTTTTCACACGTACTGCTCTCGAGCCAGGCGTCCCCCATTTTGCATTTTGTTTTGCATTTTGCATTTTGTTTTTCCTGCCAAAGTGGAGTATCTTGCATTTGTCCCTGTTGAACTTCATTTTGTTAGTTTCGGCCCATCTCTCTAATCTGTCAAGATCGTTTTGTCCTGAAACCTTCTCCCTGCCATTTCAGAAGGACATAGAACAGTGGTTCTCAACCTTCTTAATGCCTCGACCCCTTAATAAAGTTCCTCATGTTGTGGTGACCCCCAACCATAACATTACTTTTGTTGCTATTTCATAAAGGTAATTTTGCTACTGTTATGAATTGTAATGTAGGTACCTAATATCATTCACCTTTTGTTATTTGGGAGTTATAGTTGCTGGGATTTAGAGTTCACCTACAATCAAAGAGCATTCTGAACTCCACCAACAATGGAACTGAACCAAACTTGGCACACACAACTCCCATGACCAACAGAAAATACTGGAAGGGTTTAGTGGACATTGAACTTGAGTTTTGGAGTTGTAGTTCACCTGCATCCAGAGAGGACTGTGGACTCAAACAATGATAGATCCGGACCAAACTTGGAATGAATACTCAATATGCCCAGATGTGGAGTATGGGGAAAATAGACCTTGACGTTTGGGAGTTGCAGTTGCTGGGATTTATAGTTCACCTACAATCAAAGAGTATTCTGAACTCCACCAACAATGGAACTGAACCAGACTTGGCACACAGAACTCCCATGACCAACAGAAGATACTGGAAGGGTTTGGTGGACATTGAACTTGAGTTTTGGAGTTGTAGTTCACCTGCATCCAGAGAGGACTGTGGACTCAAACAATGATGGATCCGGACCAAACTTGGAATGAATACTCAATATGCCCAGATGTGGAGTATGGGGAAAATAGACCTTGACATTTGGGAGTTGTAGTTGCTGGAATTTATAGTTTACCTACAATCAAAGAGTATTCTGAACCCACCCAATAATAGAATTGGGCCAAACTTCCCACACAGAAACCCCATGGCTTTAAGGACTCACTGACGCGAGCCTGTCTCCAGCCTCGCACGCTCTCCCTTGCCTGCACATGTGCACCACACAGCCATGTGCCGAGCACACCTGTTCTCCTCTCCCCACTTGGAATCTCAGTTCTGTATTCACTGCCTTGATTTTGGTGTTTTTTAAACACTGGTAACCAGATTTTGTTCATTTTCACGGTTTCCTCCTTTCTGTTGACATTGTCCACGTGCTTCTTGTGGCTCCTTCTTTGGAGGCTTTTAAGCAGAAGCTGGATGGCCACCTGTCAGAGGTGCTTTGAAAGCAATTATCTGACATGATGGTTGTCCAACTGGTCCAGCCTTTCTGTGTTCTCAGATAATATTCTGTGTCCAGATTGGTTTGTCAAGTGTTCTGCTATAGCTAACTTCTCTGGTTGAACCTGTCTGCAGTGCCTTTCATGCTGCGTTTGGTGGTCCCTGTGTAGGCTTCTATGTAGCTTTATGCGATAGACATCTTATCTGTGCTGTTACGCGCTGGGCCTGTGACAATGTCTATTTACAGGACGTGCTTTTAGGATGCCCAACGGGACGCCCGGGGTGCCTCAGCTGAGAGGCCCTTTAGATTTCCCCTCACAAAGTTCTGTAGAGACTTAAAGTAAGTCCAACAAAGTTCTTTATTATGACTAAAACCTTCAAAGACATGGATTAAACACTTTACAACTTTAGAAAACTGGTTGCTTCCTTGATCTGCCAACAACAGGCAGGCAACTGAGGATAAACTGCTTCTTTCTTCTTTAAGGGAAATCTTTAGACCCCTCCCTGGGCAATCGTTATTTTACCTTTGCTGGTGTGAGGCCCCCACTCCCGGCTCCAAATTGCAAGTGGTCGCTGCCAGGCAAAGTCTCTGTAGATTTTCCAAGATGAAAAAGAGTCCTCTACTTTCCAGTGAAGCTGCCTGTAAGAGCTGTAACTTTTCTCCCCAGAGCTTTGTGAAAATTGAAGAATTTTACAGGTCGGATAGAGAGAAGCCCACAACATCCTATCTGTAAGGCTTCACTGTAAAAACTAAACTGAAAGTCCCCCTTTCCCTCCAAAACCTGGGGAAAGGGGCGGATCTAAGAGCTCTAATGATAATTGATAGGTTGTTGGCCCTATGATTGCAACCTGGGGAAGCTTCCTTATTGCAAAATGCATGGTCCAAATACAGCTTGAACAAACTAGCCATGCAAGAAAAAGAAATCAAACTCCTGGCACAACTGTGCCAGCAAATTATCCTTTGCTGAAAGTAGCACTTGTTGAATTTTCTTGGTGGGTCTGCAGATTATTTGTAGGTTGAGTTTCTTCATCAGTTTCCCCTTGCGGTCAGTGGTTCCCTTGATGTATGATAAGGACACCTTTCCTCTCGATGGATGCTGCTGAAACGTGGCCATACAGCTCCAAAAAATCTCACAACGACCCAGTGATTCCAGCCACGAATGCCTTCGACAACACAGAAAGACCGATCAAATAGGCAAGGAAGATCCACGTCTTCAAAGAAGAAGAAGAAAAAGAAGGAGGAGGAGGAGGAGGAGGAGGAGGAGAAGAAGAAGAACTTTATTTTTCTACCCCACCTCCATCTCCCCAAAGGGACTCGGGGCGGCTTACATGGGGCCCAAGCCCAAGGCAGAATACAATTAAAAACAAAGCAAAACAATTAAGACACCACAAAACAGTGTAAAACAACATAACAATAATAGCTAGCAACAACAATAACAGCAGACTAATTTTGGAGTGGGGGGGGGGGGGAGGAAAGCCGCTACATGAACTAGTTAAAGGATAAGTAGTTTAGTAATGTCCAGAGGAGGGCGACTAAAATGATCAAGGGTCTGCAGAACAAGCCCTATGAGGAGCGGCTTAAGGAGCTGGGCGTGTTTAGCCTGAAGAAGAGAAGGCTGAGAGGAGACATGATAGCCATGTATAAATATGTGAGAGGAAGCCACAGGGAGGAGGGAGTGAGCTTGTTTTCTGCTTCCCTGGAGACTAGGACGCAGAGCAATGGCTTCAAACTACAAGAGAGGAGATTCCACCTGAACATGAGGAAGAAGTTCCTGACTGTGAGAGCCATTCAGCAGTGGAACTCTCTGCCCCGGAGTGTGGTGGAGGCTCCTTCTTTGGAAGCTTTTAAACAGAGGCTGGATGGCCATCTGTCAGGGGTGATTTGAATGCAGTATTCCTGCTTCTTGGCAGAATGGGTTTGGACTGGATGGCCCATGAGGTCTCTTCCAACTCTTTAATTCTATGATTCTGTGATTCTATGAATGTATAACGGCATAGGAAATATCATGGAAACAGAGTAAATTAACAGGATCAGTTAATATAGTATAGGACATCAGATTGAATGGCAATTCAAGTCATGATACAGGTCATTTGTCATAGGAGTCGTGAATCGAAAGCATGACGAAACATCCAAATCTTTAATTCCTTACGGAATGTAGCTAAGGAGGGTGCCAGCCTAATCTCTCTGGGGAGGGAGTTCCAGAGATGGGGGGCCACCACCGACAATGCCCTCTCTCTCGTCCCCACCAACCGTGCCTGAGACGGGGGCGGGAGCGAGAGAAGAATCATAGAATCAAAGAGTTGGAAGAGCCCTCCTGGGCCATCCAGTCCAGCCCCATTCTGCCAAGAAGCAGAATATTGCATTCAAATCACCCCTGACAGATGGCCATCCAGCCTCTGTTTAAAAGCTTCCAAAGAAGGAGCCTCCACCACACTCCGGGGCAGAGAGTTCCACTGCTGAATGGCTCTCACAGTCAGGAGGTTCTTCCTCATGGTCAGACGGAATCTCCATCTTAAGGACCGTGTGGGCTCATAAGGGACAAGGGATAAGCACAAGGTTGGCACCAAGTGCGAAACCACCTGCTGTTTTGGAGGAGATGGATCATAAACCGGGGTCCACCCAAGGTCTCCATTGCAGCCCAGCAGAACCTGCGTCTCAGTCAATCATTTGCCCAAAGGATGCCATTGTGGCTTAACCTTTAATGTTAAATGCTTGGAAAGTCACACCAGTTGTGTCGAAATGGCAAGAAGCAGAGTTTACAATAATTCTGCAATGCCGGGACTTGTACTTGCATCAAAATCAGGTAATAACCTTTGTAGAACAACGGGGAGCGGGGACGACATGGGGGGAAATGAAGGGCAGAGAAAATAGAAATAGAGATGAAATAAGTTGCAGGAGGGTCTGGATTTCCTTGCAAATGCATATGAATACATTCGCCTTGATCCAAGTGATACAATGCATGGATGTGATGGGACCCATGGATTCGTAGGTGTTAATTTCCTATTGGCGATGACTTGACCTTGGCAGTGTTGCCCACATTGCGCCCCAGGAGTTGTTTTCTCTAATGGAAAAGTCACATGGATGGACAACCCAATGCCCTCACTCTGTATTATAATATATATTAATTCATTTTTTGCAAGGAGCTGGAGAACAGCAAGGGAGAGAAACGCAGGGAGCATTGAGCCAAGCCCTATGACAATCTGGGATTCTTCAATGTGTCCTCTTCTGCGAGGTTTGCTTCCTGCCCTTCTCTGGAAAGCTGGAGGTCTCCCCTCAGCATTTGCCCAGGTAATGTTGGCTTTTTTGAGGTGCCCATGCCTTTGTCTGACCTGTCAATCTTTGACTCTGTGGGCGCCTTCTCCTTCTCCTCCTTCTTCTTCTCCTCCTTCTCCTTCTCCTCCCTTCTCCTTCTCCTTCTCCTCCTTCTCCTTCTCCTTCTCCTTCTTCTTCTCCTTCTCCTTCTTCTCCTTCTCCTTCTTCTTCTCCTTCTTCTTCTCCTTCTCCTCCTTCTTCTTCTCCTTCTCCTTCTCCTTCTTCTCCTTCTCCTTCTCCTTCTCCTTCTCCTCCTTCTTCTTCTCCTTCTCCTCCTTCTCCTTCTCCTTCTTCTCCTTCTCCTTCTTCTCCTTCTTCTCCTTCTCCTTCTTCTTCTTCTTCTTCTTCAGGAATCCCTAATAGCTCGAGGATTGTTTATTTATTTATTTATCGTGTCAGTATCAACCAGACAATTGTATTACATTTTTAACAAATTTTTAACAAACACACAAAACACAGTTTGCAAGCTTGGTAGTTGATTAAATGTCCTTTGACCAGTATCTGGCCCCTTGGAGTGCCTCTGGTGTTGCTGCAAGAAGGTCCTCCATTGTGCATGTGGCAGGGCTCAGGGTGCATCGCAGCAGGTGGTCAGTGGTTTGCTCTTCTCCCCACTCGCATGTCATGGATTCCACTTTGTGGCCTCATTTCTTAAGGTCGGCTCTGGATCTCATGGTGCCAGAGCGCAGTCTGTTCCATGCCTTCCAAGTCGCCCAGTCTTGTGTGTGCCTAGGGGGGAGTCTCTCCTTTGGTATCAGCCATTGGTTGAGGTTCTGGGTTTGAGCCTGCCACTTTTGGACTCTCGCTTGCTGAGGTGTTCCAGCAGTGTCTCTGTAGACCTTAGAAAACTATTTCTAGATTTAAGTTGTTGACGTGCTGGCTGATACCCAAACAGGATGAGCTGGAGATGTCTCTGCCTTGGTCCTTTCACTATTGGCTGCTACTTCCCGGTGGATGTCAGGTGGTGCAAGACCGGCTAAGCAGTGTAACTTCTCCAGTGGTGTAGGGTGCAGACACCCCGTGATAATGCGGCATGTCTCATTAAGAGCCACATCCACTGTTTTAGCGTGGTGAGATGTGTTCCACACTGGGCATGCATACTCAGCAGCAGAGTAGCATAGCGCAAGGGCAGATGTCTTCACTGTGTCTGGTTGTGATCCCCAGGTTGTGCCAGTCAGCTTTTTAATGATATTGTTTCTAGTACCCACTTTTTGCTTGATGTTCAGACAGTGCTTCTTGTAGGTAAGAGCACGGTCCAGAGTGACTCCCAGGTATTTGGGTGAGCTGCAATGCTCCAGTGGGATTCCTTCCCAGGTGATCCTCAGAGCTCGGGATGCTTGTTTGTTCTTGAGATGAAAAGCACATGTCTGTGTTTTAGATGAATAGGGGATCAGGTGGTTTTCCCTGTAATAGGCAGTAAGAGCACCTAGAGCAGTTTTTCTCAACCTGGGGGTCGGGACCCCTGGGGGGATCACAAGGGGGTGTCAGAGGGGTCGCCAAAGACCATTAGGAAACACAGTATTTTCTTTTGGTCATGTGGGTTTTGTATGGGAAGGTTGGCCCAATTCTATCGTCAGTGAGGTTCAGAATGCTCTTTGATTGTAGGTGAACTAAAAATCCCTGTGACTACAACTCCCAAATGTCTAGGTCTATTTTCCCCCAAACTCCACAGAGTTTACATTTGGGCATATTGAGTATTTGTGCCAAGTTTGGTCCAGATCCATCACTGTTTGAGTCCACAGTGCTCTCTGGATGTAGGTGAACTACAACTCCAAAATTCAAGGTCAATGTCCACCGAACCCTTCCAGTATTTTCTGTTGGTCATGGGAGTTCTGTGTGCCAAGTTTGGATTTAAGTCCATCGTTAGTGGAGTTCAGAATGCTCTTTGATTGCAGGTGAACTATAAATCCCAGCCAGTCTAACTCCCAAATGACATATCAGTCCCTCCCCGCAACCCCACTAGTATTCAAATTTGGGAGTATTGGGTATTTGTGCCAAATGTGGTTCAGTGAATGGAAATATATCCTTCATATCAGATATTTAGCAAAATTACAGTTATGAAGTAGCAATGAAAATAATGTTATGGTTGGGGGTCACCACAACATGAGAAACCGTATTAGGGGGTCACGGCATTAGGAAGGTTGAGAACCACTGACCTAGAGCTTCGGAGAGCTTCTGTTCAACCATCTCAAAGCTCCCTGCTTGAGGATGATTGTCTTCCAATTGTGATGTCTTGGTGGTGGATATGTAGGTGGCTGCGGAGGCCTCTACTTGACCTGCATGTTCTCCTGCAGCGCGGACATTGGTTTCCAGATGGAAAGCGGTCCCAGTCAGAGTTGGCTTGACGTGCCTTCCTCTTGGCACGTTTCCCCCTTTCGCCCTCCATTCGTGCCTCTTTGAATTCTGCAGCACTACTGGTCACAGCTGACCTCCAACTACAGCACTCAAGGGCCATTTGGCAACCCCTCTGACAACCCCCCCCCCCGTGACCTCCCCCACAGGGGTCCCGACTCCCATGTTGAGAAACGCTGGTTTAACCCATTGCACCACCGAGGGCTCTGCTTTTAATAGTGCAGACTAGTGAAAAACAACCCGCCTTTATTCTCTTGCAAATGCAGCACAAAATTGGCATTTAATCTGCAAATGGCAGGAGCTTTTGTGGTGCACGGCAGAACGATCGTCTCCATTCCTTGCAACTCCTTCTGGCTTCTTAGGTATAATTTTCGCTTTTTTTCCAAACCTTTTCTACCCACAAAGAAAGAGAAATGATATATTTCCTTTTGCGATGGGACATTAATCAGGTTGCACTGCCTCCGGAATGAAGAATAGATACCAAACCAAAAGTTACTTTATTCCAGATGAGATGATGAAAATGCATTATATTTGGAAAATTACAGTGGATCGTTACTTTCCCTTTTGCTCTGCATGTGGTTGTAATACATTTATACTTTCCCCCGGGCAAGAATTCTCTTTTTCTTTTTATTCCTGGGCTGAAAATGAATCTTGTTTCCTTCCCTCTGCCTTTTTTCTTTCCTTCCCGCCACTAATGCGCTTGCTTTATTCTGCAATCGGCGGTGATTCATGTCTCCGTGGCCCTCTTTTATTCACTTTTGTTTATTTGTTATAATTATTTTAATACATTGCTTCCAAACTCTTGCCAGATTTGTTTACGCCGGGAAGGAAACAATTAAACCGAGAAGAGAGAAAACATTGCAAATTGAAAAGCATGAGGGAAATTCGATATTTTTGTTTGTCTCGCAAAGCAAACAAGAGTTTCGATGCTAGAATACCACTTGTGTGCTCATTATATCTGTGCATTTTGTGTCAAAAGGTGCATTAACATTGTGGAATTAATGCAGGTTGATCCCACTTGAACTGCTATGGCCCAGTGCTATCAAATCCTGGGAGTTATAGTTTTACAAGCCTTCCTTTCCAAATAGGACTGGTATCTCATCAAATGACCACTCCCAAGATTCTACATCATTGAGCAATGGTAGTTAAAGTGGGATCAAACTACATTAATTCTACAACTTAGATCCTAAGTAACTTTTACTTCCATGATTTGTTTCCAACTTTGTTGTTGTTGTCGAAGGTTTTCATGGCCAGAATCACTGGGTTGTTGTAGGTTTTTTTGGGCTATATGGCCATGCTCTAGAGGCATTCTCTCCTGACGTTTCGCCTGCATCTATGGCAAGCATCCTCAGAGGTAGTGAGGTCTGTTGGAACTAGGAAAAAGGGTTTATATATCTGTGGAATGACCAGGGTGGGACAAAGGACTCTTGTCTGCTGGAGCTAGGTGTGAATGTTTCAACTGACCACCTTGATTAGCATTTGATGGCCTGGCAGTGCCTGGAGCAATCTTTTGTTGAGAGGTGATTAGATGTCCTTGTTTGTTTCCTCTCTGTTGTTGTGTTAATTTTTGAGGTTTTTTTTAATACTGGTAGCCAGATTTTGTTCATTTTCATGGTTTCCTCCTTTCTGTTGAAATTGTCCACATGCTTGTGGATTTCAATGGCTTCTCTGTGTAGCCTGACATGGTGGTTGTTGGAGTGGTCCAGCATTTCTGTTCTCAAATAATATGCTGTGTCCAGGTTGGTTCATCAGGTGCTCTGTTATGGCTGACTTCTCTGGTTGAAGTAGTCTGCAGTGTGCCGTCGCGCTTGGGGGCTATTAGTCTTAAAAGGAGGATGGATGTGGCATCTTTCCCCCAAGGGATTGCTTCTTGCCCTCCTTTAGGAAACTGGAACTCCCAAGAACCCAAAACGATGTAAATAACTCAAAACAAGTTTTATTTGTCACAAAGTCATTTCTTCAATGCAATAAACTGGAAAACTTTAGCAGGGTGAAGGAAAAACACACTTTACAGTCTCTTTTAGTCCTGGGTCCAAGGGGTTTGAAGCTGAGAAGCCTCACCAGGTTTCCTCTTCCTCAATGGTTGTGAGTGCCGGAGCAAAACCACAACCCCAATTCAAATGGCCTATTTTGAAGATTCGGGATCTTCCTCTGGTGCCAAAAGAACTGGCTTGAAGGCGCCTGGGTCTCCTCAGTATCCGTCCAGGATGATCTGGACATAAAGCATGAGTCCCAGGGGTAAAAAACTTCAGAATTGGTGCTAAGAGGTGACTTAAAACAGGGTCCTTTAAGAATGAAGTCTCTTACTCACGTCCATGTTGCAGGAACTCTCATGGCAGAATGAAAAGAAAAGGAAGTTCTCCCCTCTTGCAGGAAGAGGTGGAGCCAAACAGTGCTGATTGACAGCTACAAGTAACCAATCCATACAAATATACAGAAACATGGCAAAAGGGGCAGGATTAAGCATGATACAACAGTTTAAGTCTTACAACTAACAGTTCTATACATAGGTGGCGCCACTCGCGCCGTCACATGTTGCATTGTGTATTTCAGTTGCAATTAAAGCCTTGGCAGACCGTGCAAAAAGAATCTGCGAACCACACCTCCTCCAAGATGAACTGAACCACCTCAACTGGGCTCTCCAGGCCAATGGAGACTCCACCTCAGACATCAGAAGAGCTGCAAGACAACCGAGAAGAAGCCACGAGAGTAAAGACGAAGATCCACCCAGAGGGAAAGTGTTCCTGCCAGACATCAAGGGAACCACTGACCGCAGAGGGAAGCTGATGAGGAAACACAACATACAAACTATCTACAGACCCACCAAGAAAATCCAACAAATGCTCCGTTCAGCAAAGGACAAGAGGGATCCTCTCACTTCTGCAGGAGTCTACCGTGTACCATGCAGCTGTGGATAAGAAGTCTACATAGGGACCACCAAATGCAGCAGCAGCAGTGCACAAACACGCATCAAGAAACATGAAAGGCACCACAAACTCCTTCAACCAGAGAAGTCAGCCATTGCAGAGCACCTGAGGAACCAACCTGGACATAGCATTTTATTTGAGAACACAGAAATGGGGGTTCTGTGTGGGAAGTTTGGACCAATTCTATCATTGGTGGAGTTCAGAACACTCTTTGATTGTAGATAAACTATAATTCCCAGCAACTACAACTCCCAAATGTCAAGGTATATTTTCCCCAAACTCCACCAATGTTTACATTTGGGCATATTGAGTATTCATGCCAATTTTTGTCCAGATCCATCCATTGTTTGAGTTCACAGTGCTCTCTGGATAGAGGTGTATTACAACTTCAAAGCTCAAGGTCCGTGCCCAACAAAACCTTACAGTATTTTGTGTTGGTCATGGGAGTTCTGTGTGGTCCAATTCCATCATTGGTGGGGTTCAGAATGTGTTTTGATTGTAGGTGAACTATAAATCCCAGCAACTACAACTCCCAAATGACAAAATCAATCCCCCCCAATCCCAATAGTATTCAAATTTGGGTGTATCAGGTATTTGTGCCAAATGTGCTGCAGTGAATGAAAATACATCCTGCATATCAGATACTTACATTACAATTCATAACCGTAGCAAAATTACAGTTATGAAATAGCAATGACAATAATGTTATGGTTGGGGGTCACCACAACATGAGGAGCTGTATTAAGGGGTCGCAGCATTAGGATGGTTGAGAACCACTGCTATAAAGTGTGCATCATGCCTCGAATGATTTCTGGAGCCACCAGAAACCCAAACCTTGGGACATTCTTTCCACCCTTCTTCTGGGAAGCGAGCCAATTGTCCTTTCTTGCCTTGACCCCTACAACTTGGGAGTTGTAGTTGCTAGGATCAATTCCCCCCCAACCCCAACAGTATTCAAATTTGGGTGTATGGAGTATTTGTGCCAAATGTGCTGCAGTGAATGAAAATACATCCTTTCTCATTATTTTAGCCAGGAAGCTCAGCTACAGAAGAATGCAAAAGCACAGAGAGGTATGTTGGCTTTCCATTCCATGAAAAAGGTAAAGGTTTACCCTTGACATTAAGTCTAGTTGTGTCCAACTCTGGGGGGCGGTGCCGATCTCCATTTCTAAACCAAAGAACTGGCATTGTCCATAGACGCCTCCAAGGTCATCTGGCCACTGTTCAGACTGCATGGAGTGGGCAGATCAAAAGACAACCTGGCCAAATGGCACTACCTAAAAGAATCCCAGACCTTGTGTGACTGTGGAGCAGAACAGGCAACTCTGCATCTGTATGCTTGTCCACTATGCCCTGCCTCATGTACAAAAGAACTATTGGAGGCTACAGAAAATGTCATTGCTGTTGCCCATTTTTGGTCAAAAGATATTTAACCGCCTGTGCTCCTTCTATTTTTATCAGTTTTATACTAATCATAGAATCATAGAATCAAAGAGTTGGAAGAGACCTCCTGGGCCATCCAGTCCAACCCCATTCTGCCAAGAAGCAGGAATATTGCATTCAAATCACCCCTGACAGATGGCCATCCAGCCTCTGTTTAAAAGCTTCCAAAGAAGGAGCCTCCACCACACTCCGGAGCAGAGAGTTCCACTGCTGAACGGCTCTCACAGTCAGGAAGTTCTTCCTCATGTTCAGATGGAATCTCCTCTCTTGTAGTTTGAAGCCATTGTTCCATTGCATCCTAGTCTCCAGGGAAGCAGAAAACAAGCTTGTCCCCTGCTCCCTGTGGCTTCCCCTCACATATTTATACATGGCTATCATATTCCCTCTCAGCCTTCTCTTCCTCAGGCTAAACATGCCCAGCTCCTTAAGCCGCTCCTCATAAGGCTTGTTCTCCAGACCTTTTATCATTTTAGTCGCTCTCCTCTGGACACGTTCCAGCTTGTCAATATCTCTCTTGAACTGTGGTGCCCAGAATTGGACACAATATTCCAGATGTGGTCTAACCAAAACAGAATAGAGGGGTAGCATTACTTCCCTAGATCTAGACACTAGGCTCCTATTGATGCAGGCCAATGTATGCAATGCTTTTGATATGAAATAAATAACCTTCCTACTGGAGAGGTACCTATTGATCTACTCACATTTGCATGTTTTTGAACTGCTAGATTGGCAAAAGCTGGGGATAACAGCAGGAGCTCACCTGATGATACAGAAGTCCAACTGCATTATCAGCAATGGTCCTTTGACTTTTCATTCTTTTCTTCGTTTTCAGCTCCATCAGTTACGAAGTCCACAGCTTCGGTGCCTGGTATATCTGGTGAGTACAAATTTGTGTTGTTGTTGTTTCACTGGAGAAAACATTAATTAAAGATGGTTTTCTGAGATAGAGACACAAAGAGGTTCCTCTCCTAAGTAAATACACATATTTTCCCTGCTCTGGTGATTGGAATCAACTGAAAGGGTCCAGGTTTTCTGAGGACTCCTTATGGCAAGTGTTGGCATAGGGGACAACATACTTTACACAAGACCCGCAAATCTCCCCAATCTTCCATATTTGTTTTTTAAGACACGCATTGCCCTCAAAGTTCGACCCCTCAAATTTTTGCTCCCAAAAATTGCCCCAAGTCTTTCAAAAAGCCACATGATGATGATAGATGAGTTACATTTTAATGTTGAACTACTATATGTTTACTCCCTCAATTCTCGGTGTGCATCTACGCTGTAAAATGTATGCAGTCTGTTCGCACTTTATCTGCATGTCTCAGTGCAATGGTTTCCTGGGAGTTTTCATTTTGCAAGGTCTTTAGCATTCTCTGCCAAAGAACATCAGTGCCTCGTCCAACTGCAATTCCCAGGATTACTTAGTACTGCGCTATGGCAATTAAAGTAGTATTATGTGATTTCAGCTCCCTCAAGTCGTCTCTGGTTGCTTCTGGATCGAGAGAATCGGCCGTCTACGAAGACGGAAAAAGTGGATGTGGCTCTCAATGAGACATGCCGCATTATCACGGGGTGTCTGTGCCCTACTCCACTGGAGAAATTACACTGTTTAGCCGGTATTGCACCACCTGACATCCGCCGGGAAGTAGCAGCCAATAGAGAAAGGACCAAGGCAGAGACATCTCCAGCTCATCCTCTGTTTGGGTATCAGCCAGCACGTCAATGACTTAAATCAAGAAATAGTTTTCTTAGATCTACAGAGATACTCGCTGGAACACCTCAGCAAACGAGAGTCCAAAAGTGGCAGGCTCAAACCCAGCACCTCAATCCGTGGGTGATACCAGATGAGAGACTCCCCCCCTGGGCACACGGAGGACTGGGAGACTTGGAGGGCGCTGAACAGACTGCGCTCTGGCATCACGAGATGCAGAGCCAACCTCAAGAAATGAAGCTACAAAGTTGAATCCACGACATGCGAGTGTGGAAAAGAGCAAACCACTGACCACCTGCTGCGGTGCAGCCTGAGCCCTGCCACAGACACAATGGAGGACCTTCTTGCGGCAACACCAGAGGCACTCCAAGTGGCCAGATACTGGTCAAAGGACATTTAATCAGCTACCAAGTTTGCAAAATTTGTGCTTTTTTATCTGTTTGTTTGTTTTGTTCTGTTAGAAATGTAACACAATGTTCTGGTCGCGGATGACACGATAAATAAATAAGCTCCCTAAAGAATTGTGGGTTCGGATCCCGGTATGTCTAGCGTTCTATAAGGCCAGGTGCAACACAGACAAGTTGGAGGCAAAATCAGAGGCTTTATTCTCACTGGCCAAAGAGGATGTCAGCAGAGGCAGGGCTCCAAAGAACTGACATACCATAATTGCTAATACATTGTCATGTTTACTGTAAGTTGACATCTATACAAGTCTACTGCACTTGGTTTCTGACTGGTACAGAAAGTGTCTGCCCACGATCCAATCTCTGGTTGGTTTGGTGTCCAATGTCATTGTTGGTTGGCTTCAGTTGTGGTGATAAACTTTAGTAAATTGTGATTGGAGTATTTTGAAACTTGTGTCCATGTATTGTTCCACTCATGAGAGGGGAAGGGATGTGGTAGGGCAAGCAACAATGGGCTGACATGGGTTTCAGTGCGTATCAGTCCATTAAACGAAAGGGTGCTCAGGGTGTTGCCCATTTCAGTGGGATCCCCAGGGTGGGGTCCTATTTAGTGACAGGGATGAGGAAACGTTTCCAGGAATAAATCAGATTATCTCAGGAAGAAACAGGCAAAGATGTGGACACCCTTGTGTAAACCCATTGTGTGCTCCTGTGTCTTCTCATGGCATTGTGAAGGGATTATGCTAACTGGGATGTTGCCATCCCTTGATGTCTGAGATGTGTTGTGTGTGTGAAAGCACCATTCAAAGGGGCTTAATGGAAACAACTCAGAAACTGGGAATGAATTTCATGAGGGCTCCCTAACTGAACCCCATGGAGCTGTGAACTATGGGGTTCATCATCTTGGGCTCCAGTTTTCAACAATAGTGGTATCAAACTGCCTTGGTCCTACAATGTAATATTCTTTGGAGAGGAAACATTGATCAATGTGATTTATTTAAGTGATGACTTCCTCACAATCAACCATCACTGGGTCTTCTTACATAATAGAACTCAGGTTTAGATAGACATTCCACATCACATTTTGACTTGTTGTCCAGATGATGTGACTCTGTATCGGGCCTCATCTTGGAGAAGTTACACTTTGTTGTCTTCTTCTTCCAGGCCTTGCCTGTCTCTCCTCCTTGCCGTGGTTCTCCTGTGCCTGGTCACCTGCTGTCTCCAATGGTGGCTGAAAAGGCAAGGGTTCCTACCATCTTCTCGGAATCCCAATGTGTTTGTTCTCAGTGATGCCGAATCGGTCTATGGTGAGTTTCAAGATTGGCACCAAGAGAGTGACTCAACTTATGCTGAACTCTATCTGAAATCTTGGTGAACATCATCGTACATCATATGTCACTCTGTAATGCAGGAGGTGTGGACTAGTACTGATAACAGCGTGTTCTGTGTGTTTGCGATGTAACTACCAAACGGAGAGGAAGCAGTTTTATGATGTGCTACTGTTTATAGTTGTAAATAAAGTATTTTATAGCCTACAGTTGGAAGGAACTCCAGACTGGCCAAACCCCAGTCATGAAGGAAAATACATTCCCAAGAGATGTCATCCAATCTCTATATAACGACCTCCAGAGATGGTGTGTCTATCAAATCTGTGATAGTTCATAGAATCATAGAACCAAAAAGAACCATAAGGACCATCTACTTCAACCCCTCCACTCAATTATTGCACTCCAAAGAGATGGTCATCCAGTCTCTATTTAATTACCTCCAGAGATAGAGAGTTCACCAACTCTAAGATAGTCCATTAACAGAACCATAGGATCACCATCAACAATTTTATTTCTCCTTGAGGTGTTGAGTCATAGTTCAGATACATAGATATAAATATAAAACCATTAAAAGAATATATACCCAAAGACATAGACATGAGGCACATTAAAATCATTTGTATCAATAGAAATGGAAGGGATCCCAAGGACCATTTAATCCAGCTTCCTCCAACCATGAAATAAATTAATTTGGAGAGATGGTCATCCAGTCTCTATTTAATGACCTCCAAAGATGGAGAGTCCACTGATTCTGAGATATCCCATAGAATCATAGGATTGGAAGGGACACCAAGGGCCATCTAGTCCAACCCCCAACATAGCTTAAGAAATGATCATCCAATCAATGTTTGGGTCTCCAAAGATGGAAACTCAAATCATCGATTTATAGAATCATAGAGTCAGAAGGGACTCCAAGAGCCATCTAGTCCAACCTCCTCCTGCCATGCACAGAGAAACAACTAAAACACTCCCCATGGATGGTCATCCACCTTTTTGCATTTGTTGTTGCTGCTGTGTGCCTTCAAGTTGCTTCCAGAGTATGGTGGCCCTGAAGTGAACCTATCACAGGGTTTTGTTGTCAAGAGTTGCTTTGGGAGTTGTAGTTGCTGGGATTTATAATTCACCTACAATCAAAGAGAATTCTGAAACCCACCAACGATGGAATTGAACCAAACTTGGCACACAGTTCTCCCATGACCAACAGAAAATACTGGAAGGGTTTGGTGAACAGTGTCTTTTGGTTTTGGAGTTGTAGTTCACCTACACCCAGAGATCACTGTGGACTCAAACAATGATGGATATGGACCAAACTCTACACAAATACTCAATATGCCCAAATGTGAACACTGGTGGAGTTTGGGGAAAATAGAATGTTGACATTTGAGAGTTGTAGTTACTGGGATTTATAGTTCACCTACAATCACAGAGCATTCTGAACCCCACTAATGATAGAATTGGGCCAAACCTCCCACACAGAATCCACATGAGGGCCACAGGAACGCTTGCCTTTTGAGGCCTTTGTCTTACTAATCATATAATATAGTATATTGTATATACATATAATATATATAATATTATAATGTAATGCAATATAATACTAGGAATAATAATACAATGTTATAATTATATATTTACATTACATGTAATATTCCTAATAATATTACATTATAATGGTGTAGTGCAATATAGTAATATATAATACAGATATTGTACTATGCTAATAATATAATATATTGTATGAAAATATATCTTGTAAGCCCTCTGAGTCCCCTTCGGGGTGAGAAGAGCGGCATATAAATGCCGTAAATAAATAAATAAATAAATAAATTAGGTGAGATCTGCCTTTATCGAAGGCTTTCATGGCCTGAATCACTGGGTTGTTGTAGTTTTTTTCGGGCTATATGGCCATGTTATAGAGGCATTTTCTCCTGACGTTTTGCCTGGATCTATGGCAAGCATCCTCAGAGGTAGTGAGGTCTGTTGGAACTAGGGAAAAGGGTTTATATATCTGTGGAATGACCAGGGTGGGACAAAGGACTCTTGTCTGCTGGAGCTAGGTGTGAATGTTTCAACTGACCACCTTGATTAGCATCTGATTGCCTGGCAGTGCCTGGAGCAATCTTTTGTTGAGAGGTAATTAGATGTCCTTGTTTGTTTCCTCTCTGTTGTGCTGTTCTAATTTTGGAGTTTTTCAATGAACAAAATCTGGCTACCAGTATTAAAAAAACTCCAAAATTACAACAGCACAACAACAGAGAGGAAGCAAACAAGGACATCTAATCACCTCTCAACAAAAGATTGCTCCAGGCACTGCCAGGCAATCAAATGCTAATCAAGGTGGTCAGTTGAAACATTCACACCTAGCTCCAGCAGACAAGAGTCCTTTGTCTCACCCTGGTCATTCCACAGATATATAAACCCCTTTTCCTAGTTCCAACAGACCTCACTACCTCTGAGGATGCTTGCCATAGATGCAGGCGAAACGTCAGGAGAGAATGCCTCTAGAACATGGCCATATAGCCTGAAAAAACCTACAACAACCCAGATCTGCCTTTGTTTTCCTTTGGGGCTGAGAGTGTGTGACCTGACTAAAGGTCATCGAGTTGGTTTCCCTGGCCAAAGTGGGATTTCAATCCAGGTCTCTAGTCATAGTTCGATGCCCAAAGCACTACCCCACCCTGACTCTCTGAAAGGCGGTTTCCCTGGGCTCAGAACTCCCCCCAAAATAATTCCTTTTCTTATAGGTGTTGATTCACATGCATTGTACATGAAGCCATTGTCTTTGCTCACGCCTTTGCTAATGGATTGGGTTTTGGAAATATAATGCAATGCACTAGTCTTTCTTTCTGTCTGACTTTCTTTTCTGGGACATATTCATGTATTTATTTATTTATTTATTTGTTAAGTGCTTTCAATTGTATGCAAACCTTGAGTCCTGGATCTGTAGTGAAAGCATGATGATGTTAATAATAATTCGCTAAGGGATTTAATAATAAATTTGATAATAGCCGCAAGACTGAAGCAATTCCTTCCACCCTTTCCTTCCCAGAGAATGATGCAGCTGCTTGGATGCCTCCCAAGGTTCATCTCTGCCTCCCAGGGTGTGAGCCGAGCACTACAAATCCCAGCTGCAACGTGGCCCCTCCGTCCTATGTTGAGATTATGAAGCGAGACTCGAACCCGGGACCCGCAGCAGTGACAGCCTTGGATTGACCTCAGTAGGAAGCCTACGTTGAAAGAATACTCTTTGTCTCTCCTTGCCTTATCTCCCAGGCAAGGCTTGAATTCTTCCAAGGGAGCAATAGCTGCCTGCTAATATAATAAAGCAATATTCTTCCAACAAATTGAGCAATGTGCAATTATTGGGCATTCGTTGAAACATTAGGCTGGCCTTCGGATGCAGATTTCCTGGTTCCAATCTTTGTGTTTTGCAGCACACACAGAGGGAGACTCATGACAAAAAACCTCTGCCCTAAATGATAATTATTTTCTTTGGGAACTCAATTCTTAGCCTTGCGGAAAGTGTAATGTAAGCTCCATCTGCACTGCAGAGTTAATGCAGCCTGATTCCACTTTAACTGCTATGGCTCAATGCTATGGAATTATGGTTTCATGAGGCACTAACATTCTTTGGGAGAGAAGGATAAGGACCTTGCGAAACTATAACTTAGATGAAGGGTTAGAAGGCATGATCATCAATTCTGCAGATGACACCAAATTGGGAGGGAGAGCCAGTACTCCAGAGCACAGGAGCAGGATTCAAAACGATCTTGACAGACTAGAGAAATGATGGGCCAAAACTAACAAAACGAAGTTCAACAGGAACAAATGCAAGAGACTCCACTTAGGCAGAAAAAATAAAATGCAAAGATACAGAATGGAGGACAATGCCTGGCTCGAGAGCAGTACGTGTAGAAAAGATCTTGGAGTCCTCGTGGACAGGAAAGGGAACATGAGCCAACAATATGATGCGACGGCAAAAAAAGCCAATGGGAGTTTGGCCTGCATCAATAGAAGCCTAGTGTCTAGATCAGGGGTAGGGAACCTTTGGCCCTCCAGCTGTGGTGGACTTCAACTCCCACAATTCCTTGAGGCTCGGCATTGGGCCAAGGTAAGCCTTTGGGGCGAATGCCGAGCCTCAAGGAATTGTGGGAGTTGAAGTCCACCACAGCTGGAGGGCCAAAGGTTCCCTACCCCTGGTCTAGATCTAGGGAAGTCCTGCTTCTCCTCTATTCTGCTTTGTTTGGACCACACCTGGAATATTGTGTCCAATTCTGGGCACCACAATTCAAGAGAGATATTGACAAGCTGGAATGTGTCCAGAGGAGGGCAACTAAAAGAATCAAGAGTCTGGAGAACAAGCCCTATGAGGAGCGGCTTAAGGAGCTGGGCATGTTTAGCCTGAAGAAGAGAAGGCTGAGAGGAGATATGATAGCCATGGATAAATATGTGAGAGGAATCCACAGGGAGGAGGAAGCAAGCTTGTTTTCTGCTTCCCTGGAGACTAGGACGCGGAACAATGGCTTCAAACTACAAGAGAGGAGATTCCATCTGAACACGAGGAAGAACTTCCTGACTGTGAGAGCCATTCAGCAGTGGAACTCTCTGCCCCGGAGTGTGGTGGAGGCTCCTTCTTTGGAGGCTTTTAAAGAAAGGCTGGATGGCCATCTGTCGGGGGTGCTTTGAATGCAATGTTCAGGCTTCTTGGCAGAATGGGG